TTAAAAAAAAATAAAAAGGTGTTGTTTTAAGTATTGCCTAAACAAATTTGGCCGATGTATTATAAAGGTATGTTTCATTATAATATCTTCTTATTTTTGAGATGGATAAGAAATAAAGTGAAGAAAAAATGTACGATGAAAAAATATTAGGCAGTGAAGTGTGAACCTAGATGATAACGTATATCAATAGTACAATGTAAATAGAATATCCTCAATATAACCAAATGTGATATAGTATTTTATTGACATTGAACATGGCCTAAGGGCTGAAACGTTGGTGTATAAAAACAAATTAGGTATGACTATGGGATCAGATATGTGTTTTTATTATTACTATTAAGGTGAAGTTCTAACCTACGAGTTTAAATACATATAATTAATTATATATTATTGCAATCTTTTTTATTACATCATACTATTTGTTTCTCACTTTCTGAAATATTTAAACTTTTCTTTCTTTAAACTTTCTTCTCTCTGACTATATATATATATATATATCCTTTTATTTTTTTGGTCTTCTAGACCACATCCTGATTTAAGTACACGGGGGGTAGAATCATCAGTACTACGCCCTGTTCGTGTGAGTTGCCTCCAGTAGGATGAGGGGACTCACAAACCCTGGGGTGGAGGGTCTCGGGCACCCTGGTGGACGGTCACCAAAATCGGGTGGTCATCCATCCAAGTGCTAACCACGCTCGGCGTTGCTTAACTTGGTTACCTATTGCAAGGTTACCATAGCCGGCACGCCTACCCAAGCCCTTACATATATATATATATATATATATATATATATATATATATATATATATATATATATGTGTGTGTTTTTCTTTAATTATTATATTAATATTTAATATATCTTCTACGTATATATAATTCTTCAACTGTTTTTTTTTTATTTATGATTTATGCTAGTTCATTGGTGAATTTAAAACTGCAAAATCTGTTATTCAAATAAACATATATTTAATATCTATTCCAATTCATGTACTAGTACTGGCACTTCGGGGGAGAGGACTATGCCCAGCAAGTGGGCCTATTGATCCTTTTTGCCAACCCCAAAAACAATACTACCAATGGTAGTCTATTGTACTTCCAACTCTGTCTCATTCCTTTTTTTTCTTCTAATGAAGTTGAAAAGGCTGAACCATTTTATGGTGGTAGCTTTTTGTTCTCGTATTCTATCTGAGCTCAGAAGTCTTTATCTGAGCAACGCAAATCGATCGCATTCTGATTCATAATGTAGAGAAGGGCAGTTTCCAATGCGTTTTTGCACAGGTTGCGGAGTTCATCTTCTACTATTCTACAGATCTTTAGATGTCTTCAAGTCTGGAGTGGCCTTTTAGTACTCTGTGAATGAGTCGGATTTCCTTTTTGGTTAGGCACAGTAGCCAGTTGGTTGGGGAGTGCAATAGGAAATTCCGCTTCTTTCCTTGCTAGGGCTTCGGCTTTTTCATTGCCTTTAATTCTCTTGTAATCAGGTATCCACACTAGTTCCACTCTCTTCAAGCAGGTCCCTCCAAAGCTTGATTACACTTCTCTGCTAGTGTGGAGTTCTCTTTGGGGGATTCTAGTGCTTGCTACCGTGCTGATGTTCAGACTGACTATCCGAATAGATAGTAATACCAGCACTCTCACAATTAATAACTTCTAAACAGTTGGCAGCAGAAAGTATAGCAAACATCTGTGCTTGTAATACTGTAGCATGTTTACATATTATACATACCTAATGCTATGCTTAATTCTTAAGTTACCTATATAGACTCCTGCGCCCGTTAAGCCGGTTTAGTCATCAGTGAAACAGGACAAGTAGTCCTTCTGAGTTTCTATTGAACCCTGTGCCCAACCAATGGGATACAGGTAGCTAATCTTCCGATAAATGCAAAATATAGAAACTGATTTTCGTGTTTTCATAATTATTATCCCAGCCAGAACTCAATCAGCATAGCTTGATCGGCCAGAACAGGCTAACGCGTGTGCACAGCACTGCCGTTACTCGGCAAACTGATATATGACAACTTGATAAAAAATAGTCACGAGTTCGCGTCCTGGTGCCAGGGGAGTCTTTTAAATCCATACCCTTACCCCCTGGCCCGGGAAAACGCCGTATAGCCTTAAAGGCGAGGAAGGGGAGAACTAAAAAAAAAAAAGAAATCAGCAAAGCTCATTGAACTCATTGAGCTCGAAGGAAGACAGCTGCATAGCAAAATCTAATATGCTTTAAAAAATAATGTAAAAAATCTATTCGTGAAGTGTCTAAGTGAATAATTAAATATTCCCAAATATCGTACAAAATAAAGAGTATAATATTTTTTAATCAATGTACATGGATTGAAAAATATTTTCATTATCAATATTAATAGCAAAAGAATTGATTATATATCGCCCTGTTTAATAGTTAGTTGTAAGCTGTTACGTATGGGGCAATGGAGGCTGGAAGCCGTTGGCAAAGGATCGAGAGATCGGCCCAGCTTGTAGCAGCATCAAAAAGATGGCTCCCAAGCTGGTCAAAGACGTGGCTAAGGCGATGGGCACGTGGCCTAAGCTCTGTCCCAATCCACCTGTAAGTACATAGTTTTGTTTGATCTTTTACTTATTAATTCACATATGTCAAAAAGTAAATGGGGCAAAGAGTTAATGATATTTAATAAATGGCATGAGAAGACTCATTTTTCCATCCATGTTTTTTATGGTCATATCTAGAAATAATGGTATTTTGGATTGCTTTTTGAGTATTAGACATCTTTAGGTTACAGTGATATATTTGTTGCAGACGTACCAGAATATTTCTGTGATGATTAAAAAAATTTAGAATGTTAAATTTAAAGAGTACTCCCGAATGAATTTATATAAGAAATGAGAAGGAGTTGATCGGGGGGGGAGGGGTTGCCGTCAAATTAATACTAAATTAAATAAGTATTTTGTATTGTATTAAATAAGTATTTTAATAATAAATTAAATTAAATAATTCTACTTATTTAATTTAGTATTAATTTGACCGCACCCCCCGATCAACTCCTTCTCATATTAGATCAACGGTCAACCATCTCAACATCATTAAATAACAAATATTTTTCAATTTTTACGTTTTGATTTTCAATCATTGATTCATTAAATTTAAACCTATATACTCGATCCGAGGCGCTCTTTTACGGGCGATTCACACCACTCATGCTACGGCCAGATGCTATGCCTTAATACAAGTATAATGTTTCAGGGTAACTATACAGTGAATAATTTGCCTTTGAACGTGGAGTTGAATATCCCAGTACTGCCTTACAATAAATACATGGTTGAGTTTTGGCTCAACCACAAGAAGATCAGAACTGGTTGCGGAAGAGCTTTTGTTGACATTGTCCCTAAGAAGAGATCTAGAAAACACAATTAAGCTCTTGGGATAATTGAGGCAGAGGAATTGTTACTTAAATAAATGTATGTAATTGTTATCAGCAATGTAAATAACTTGTTTATAAAGTTAAAAAAGCTGTCAAAACAAAATGTGTTTCTATGAAAAATATTTCTCTGTGTAGCTTTTTGTAATTAATTCTTAAGAGACGGAAACAAGTTAATTTACGAAGTCTATCTATTTCTTTGTACAACCTCTTTTTTTCTTTTAGTAATGAAAATTGGATTTAGCAAATAAATATTCTCCAGAGGTGTTTAGAGTGGTAGTGCCTTCATTCTGGATAAGGCAATATTATTTATTTGACTGTAAAATGAGTTAGAAAATAATTCCTTTCTTCAGCGACTAAATAGTCGCTATTTATGTTATTTTCCTAAAGTTCAGTACACAGAGGCGTGAAATTGGCAATAAACGCAAATATCGCTACTGTTACTGCATAAGGTCGAATGTAAACATTTTTTTTTGCACGAGCATTATTTCCTTTCATTTGCACAAAAACCCAATTATTCTTTATGATTTATTAGTACAATTTCATATTTTACTTCGCTCTGCTGTTTTTCTATTCATAGGACTACTTATAGCAGCTGCAGAATATAAAATTTCACCTTTAACACAAAGGAAATAACATGTAAAATTGTTACAAATGACTTTTTACACTAACAGTTTATTATCATTATTATTTCTTAATTTGTACTTATTTATTGAGAAATATTGTAATCTGTCGCAGTTAAGGACACTTATAATAGAGTTCAGAGAGTACTTTCACACTAATCGTAGGAATATGTGTACGTCATTGAGACTTGTCTGATAATTTTAAAGTTTAGATCAATAGAAAAATATCGAAAAATATTCGTAATCAGTAATTTTTAAATTATCTCATGGTCTTTTTTTTGAAAAATTTATTTAATATTTGTTTTCATAGACGTACATACAGATTGTTCTTCTAACAAAACTGTAAACATTAATGCAATAAACAAATCACCCACGAAGATGAAACGGCAATGGTCCCGAGACCTTTTGTAAATACACTGTTGGAGTTCTGGCAGTAGTCAACTTCTCCACTTAAGTCCTGAGTGTATGTATGTCGCTTTGGCGTTTTCAATCAGCCTTCACTGACTTTTTAACAGTGATGCAGCTAGGATCTCTTTGATCCCTACTTTGCCTTTCACATGAGAGCGGCAAAGTGTGGTTCAGGGTTCCCCAGGCTGAATTTTAACATTGTATATAGGAATAAATGTTTGACAAGTATTTTTATTTTCGTTTTATTATCATTTTAATGTTTTTTTTTTCTTTTTACGAGCTGTTTATATTTTTTTATTGTTTTTTTTTTTTTTTACTTTCCATGTTTTCTTCTTGTTTTTTTCTCAATTTGTATATAATAGTATGAATGTACATATAGAACCTTAATACCGAATGCCCTTGATTGTTTTATTTTTCTTCAAATAACAAATTTTAATAAAAAACTGTTTGTTCATGAGATAAGAAAGAGTTAGCTTTACATGGTCTTTTCTCAGTCTGGTTATCCAATGGACAATCTCCTCTCTGAAATTATAATTCATGTTAAAAAAAAAAAATTCGGTCTATTTCATAAACTTACATTTCGCCCGAAGGTAGATTCAGGGTTATACTCCCTGCAGCAGCGTCGCCATACTTGAGGTAGCCGCAGAGACCGAAGGCGACGTAAAGGGAACCATAGAGGTAGGCTGATACGTTGAGGACGCCGCAACTACCACCGAGCTGGTCCTCTCTCTTCATCTCGTTTTGCAGAGGCAACACCTTATAAAAAAAAAAAAGCTTTAAACGTTAATAAACTTAAGCCTAAAACAGGACACTTTTATAATTCAACTTAATATGAAGGTGTGTTCCACTGTTTTAAAAGTTCATTAATATACCATAATAACTTTATTATTGTTTCATTACTCTTTTCGCAGTATCCTATTCAGATAGGGTCAAACAGGAAACCCTAGTAATTTAAATTATAATAAATATTCTATGGTTAACTATGTTCTTCGTTAGGTGTATCGTTGTAACTTGTTGATAATAATAATATTTTTTTAGGAAGTTCAGGACAGTATGAAAACGAGCTTTATTTCTTGTTACATCAAAGAGGGAAGTACCTTCTCAATTATGATGGTTCGTAGAGCAAGATCTTTCTTATACTTATGATAAAATTCCTAATATTGGTAGTTTATATTTCCTAACCACTAGTTTTCTCGAGAATAGGGGACTTTTCTTGCTTGGCATAACATTCTTAAGATAGTAAATATAGCTTCGGATTCGGACTATCCGGCAAGTTATGAACCAGGAAAGACACATAAAGCAGTTGTAATCCAGGTTAAACGCTCTGCTACTAGATAATGATAGGCACTATAGGGCGACGCTAAAGAAAAAGAAATAGGTATTCCGACAATATTTTACCATTTATCGATAATGAGGAGAGCTGATTGCCGATTGTAACATTTCTATTTGTTACCACATAACTTTTTTTTTCTCGAGAATTATTAATCTTTTTATTGAGATATAATATATATAATGTAGATATAATACATTTTACCACATTTAAGGGTACTGAGTAATAAAGCTGTAAGGCACATTGATAGCATATTTACAATATAATAAAATTTAAAAAAATGAAATATATAAAAATTAATATATAGAAGATAATAATGTATATATAACAAAGATAAAAACTGTAATAAAAACAAAGATATAGCTTGTAGTGAAATAATACAGAAAATTCTTAAGTGAAAAATAAAAAAATTAAATAAATTAATATTAATGATATTAAATTATTAGAAATGAGTGAATAGAAAAAAAGCAAACAAACAAACAAAAATAATACTAACAGTCATTCTTATTAACGATATTTCCAATCAGCCAAGGGGCTCCGAGTCCTTTCCTCTACGTGTAGAGGGCAAGGCTAAGCTCTAACAGATCCCAGCGCTTCTCTTTCAGCCGCGTCACCGGCATTAGAGTACAGTGGAAACTAAGAGAGAGCACTACAGCCACAGGCGCTCATGACTTGAGTTTAGAAACTGGCCGCTGCCAGAACTCTAATGACATATTAACAAAAGGTCTCGAGGCCACTGTCGTTTCAAACTTCGAGGAGATAACTTTTAGTTAAATCCTCTGATTAAAACGTCGGGTAAGGTGTTCCGTCAAGGCAACCAGCCTTTCTAACCGATGACAAATCCATCAAAGTTAATAAATTTCTGGTATTATGTGACAACAAATATTAATATAAAATTTGTATTTTCCATACTTATCAGGATTAGAAGCAAGATTAATTAAAACAGGAGAATTCTTTGCGAATTTTATAAATTGTTCAAGCGACAGTGTCTCTAAATTCGGGAGTCATTCTAGGATTTAAAATAATTTAATTCTTCTACTATGAGAGTCAAATCTATGCTATATTTTTATGAAGCCATCGGTGTGATAACCGAGAATTATAACTACCACTGATTTACTAAGTTAATAAAAACTAATCATCCCGTTCCAACACACACAAGAATTTATTTATTATTTGATTTACAGGCTAATGTTAACTTTATCGGTTAATTTCTAACGTCCTTTTTAGCAGGGGTGGATCCAGCCCTAGGCCATACAAATGATAAATGACATGTAAGCATTAAGATGTAACGGAAGAATTGATAGGTTATCTTGAAGAAAAAGAAGCCCGTTAGATTTCCTGCCATATACAAAAATTGTACAAAGTTATTTAAACAAATTCAGTTTACATGGTAGAACATAAAATATAACTATGACTCAATCCTAAAATGACCCACTTGGCCTGGTGCCTAAAAAATTGTTTAAAAAAAAATTAGAACGTTCATAGTATATTTTGCAACAAAAGTTCTGAATGTTATGGAAACCACTTATGTGACACGTATGTATCACCTAAGTAGCATCGCACTAATTAATTTATTTTTTAACGATATCTCTTTCGAGGTTTCTTTTTATAATATCCTCCTCAAACCCTGCCCCATAAACTCATGATGACTCATATGAGAGAAGTTATATTGTAAATGTTCTACCAGAAGGTTCTGTTTACGGATTGTTTAACTGGTTTAGCGAAAACTGATAAATTCTAAAACAAGTGATTCCAGATCTTTTCATAAAAAAAAAAAAAAAAAAAAAAATCCTTTTGTTATATTAAGATGACAGTAAGACAATATAAATAGAATTTTTTCCCACCATAATAATTTGCACTAAAAAAAGGACAATTTACTGTATTTTAATGATTAAGTTGAATTTTTCAAATATGAAACATACCATCGTAATGCAGCAACTGGCGAAGAACACCGTTCCAAAAAACTGTGGAACATTACTTATGGGCCCAAAAGCATGCTTGCCCTCCATGGATATCGGCTCTCTGAAGATGTAGTACAGGACCACCGCCACGCTGGTAAGTAAAATGGCGTTGCCTAAGGTGGACACGACGGACAACTTCTTTAGATTAAGTACCATGTTGATCGCTACTATAGGAATGAAAATCAGCAATTCGAAGTATCTCAAGTCCATGTCAAAGTGAGGGTAAACTGCCTGAAAATTAAAATTTACTTAAAACAATAAGAAAAAAATTAATCATACATCATATTTAAAATAAATCTGAATAATAGTCCGTGGTACACACCTCTTTTTATAGATTATCGAAATTCACCTGAAACTTTGTAAATATGTAACTATGTAAATATATTTTTATTTTATTTTACACTCTTGAAATTGGGGCATTTTCAGTTTGGTAATCGGCAAATTTTGTCTATTTAATTAAATATTAAAAACTCATAAATATCCATTTGCTTTCTACTTGACAGTAAGATAATTTTATCACAAAATGGAAAAAAAAATGGTGGCCTACAAAAATATTGAGCCATTTTCCGTAAACTACATCCCCGAAATGTTAAAAGAACGAGGTTATATAGGCCAAATGGCCCTATATTTTCGCAGGCCACCTTTTTTCACGATTAGTCATTTGGCCTATATGACCTCGTTGTTTTAACATTTTGAGGGTGTAGGTCACGCCAAACGACTCAAAATTTTTGAAGGTCATCTTTTTTTCTATTTTTCGCTCATATTATCTTAGGATTGAATTGGAAAGCAATTGGTTATTTACGCGTATTTAGTACCTAATTAAATAGACAAACTTTGCCGACCTCCAGATTGAAAGTGTCCAAATTCCGAAAATTTAAGTAAATATAATAATTGTTAGTTACGATGAGATAAAGCTATACGAAGTTTCAGACGGATGTTAATAATTTGATAAAAATGGGTCTATACCACGGACTACACCACAAGCTAGAATAGATGAACTCCTTATGTCCTCCTGCAGATAAACCCGCAACACTAATCGGTATTGCGGGTCAACATAGTCTGTTGAAGAACGGCACTTGTTACTATTTATTTCATGAAATCAATCATATTTTAACCATTTATAGTCTGGTTTTGTACTTATATATTTCGTTAATTTTGTTTTAAAATATTTTTTTTTAAATTATCAAACTCTGAAAATAATGTTTTATTAGAATAATTTTATGTCTCCCGATTCAGTTTATAATACCACCTCTTTTATTTCTTCCAGCTCATTTTGCACTAAAAATAAATAGTCCGTAGTTCAGAGCCCTTTTTATCGAATTATTAACATCCAGCTGAAATTTCGTAAATAGTTTCGTCTCATCGTAACCTACAACTATTTTATTTACGAAAACTCTTGGAATTAGAGCTTTTTCAATCTGGAGGAGGACAAATTTCGTCCATTTAATTAGGTACTAAAAACTAGTAAATACACATTTGCTTTCTACTTGGATCGTAAGATAATTTAATCACAAAGTCGAGAAAAAAGTTGGCCTTCAAAAATATTGAACCGTTTGGCGTGACCTATACCCCAAATTTTCAAAATAACAAGGTTATATAGGACAATCGGCCCAATATTTTTGTAGGCTACCTTTTGTATCTATTTTTTATCAAATTATCTTACGATCCAAGTAAAAAGTAAATGTGTATTTACTAGTTTTTAATACTTAATTAAATAGATAAAGTTTACCCCCCCTCCAGATTAAAAACGCCCAGAAAAGTACATGACAGGTACAAGTTATGAAAAATTTAACTATTCATTTAAATATTCATGGTAAATTAAACCACAAAACTCGACAAGTTTCTGTTTTTTTTTTTTCATTGTTTAAAGAATTCTGTTTTATTATTCTTAAATAACACCTATAATTTTTTTATTATGTCTTAAAATATATAACATGAGTACTTACAGCTTTTATGTTAGAGGCTATAAAAACGATGTACACGCATATTCCTCCTATTTGTCCAAGCAAAATGAATATATTTGTTGAAGTCCTGAAACATATATATCAAATATGAACATTAACATATATCAGAAGATGAATTATTTGGTTATAACTTATTGGTTGATTTTATTGTTTATTTGTTTTGGTTTAATATGTCGTAAAAGAAGCTGGTCAGCAACTTCTGGTGGTTCAAGTTGGCATTTGTTGGTAATCCACCAATCCTAGGCCCATTGAGTACGTAGTGAGGAACTTTCCTATACAAGGAGAGGCCTGCCAGAGTTCACAAGGTGTCGATGTCTAACACCTCAGGTAGATGTTTGGATTTTTTTACTGAATAATATGGATTATATATAACTGTTTTCCCCAGACTACTGGATTTCACAGACACTCGCGGCGTATAAAGGACTTATAGCAAAGATAGTTCTGTTTGGTGTAAACTTCGATTCTCTATGCTGAAGTTGTGCGGTAATGGGAACTGCTGAGTATATTGTACTTTTCTGTACCACCTATGAATTACTCAGGGCCAATTCGTTAAATGAGACAAAGACCAAATCTAATTCCAAGTTCTTTAAAACCTTCGTAAACAGGTGGAAATAAATAATTTTACCAACCCATTTCTCCTATGGAAAAAGAGGAGGAGCTGCATCAGGGAGACCGTCGGAATGTGAGGAAGGAAAAAAAAGAAAGAAAGATGAAGTAAAAAAAAAAAAAAATGAAAAAAGAAATACTAAGATAAAGCAGAAAAAAATTGTAAATTGGTTGAAAAAAATGCTAGCAGTGTATTGCTATGAGCAGTAACATCTTGCTGCTGCAAATACTGGTATTGCCTTAGAGAAGAGATAGAGTGGAAAATAAAAATAAAATCAATAATAACTGTATTCAGTAATTATAACTTATAAATAGTAATATCAGTAACAGAGCTTTCTAGTTAATCTGTAGTAAGATCAAATTAACTGCAAAACTAATAATTATGACGAAATAACATTGTTACAGTTAAACACATTATTCACTTAGACAAATTTATGTATGATAATACTGTACGTAAAACTGTTTCAAAAGTAAAGGAAACATCATAAATTGCATGATGGAGTTCGGTCGTCAATGGCATCACCTCTGACTAGAAGTCACCATATTAATGTCAGACCTGAGGATTCTTTATCCAGCTACTTGTAATCTTCTGCAGGTTGAGGGGCATGTCTCACAAGAGTCAGTGCATAATACTCTTGGGAATAGTTTGTAGCAGGTTTTCCTTTTTTTTTTTTAATTTTTGATTTAAGTCAATGTTTTAAGGTCGGTTCAAAATATTTTAGCTACTGTTAATACATAAATTTTGACTGGCGTGCGTGAAGGGGCTATGTATAGACGTAGTCAAGGTTCATTTTAATTTCTTTGATCAAAATACCTAATGTCATAGATTATTTTCCCCATGTTATTCTTCGGGTATTTCTCAGTTTTTCTGTTTTATTGTAAAAAAATAATCCAACAAAATACATCAATTACTGCAATGTGCCCAGGAGATGCACTGTTACAACTGATACATTTTAGAAGATCATTGTATATGTTGGATTTACATCCAAAATTTTATTGTATAGAGCATTTAAATTATCGTTGTATAAACAACACGGGGGGACCCCCGGTCTCAACTTGCACTACCCCCTCTCTAAGACGGCTTTATCTGCGGCCAATGGACAGATGCTAGCGAGCGAAGAAGGTAAAAGGGACTGCTGATGACCACCTCCTGACCAGACCTCGAGAACTACAGCCCTTCGGCTAATTTCTGGACCCGCAACGGCGGAGAGAGAGAGAGAGAAGGCGCGAGACCGGCCCCCCTCATCAAACTGTACGTAAACTTATACACATATATTCACAAGTATTCCCCTCTAGAACATTTATTTATTTTTGTATCTCTCAAGAAAAGGGCTCCCGGTCATATGGCATGTACCGGGCCCCCCAATATTGAACAGTATATAAGGACTTTTTTTTTTAAATGTACTTACACGAAGATGGGAGCTAAGCTTCTTACAGCCTTGGGCCCACCAGCGAAAGCAGCTTGTACTGTGCCCTGGTATGTTGGAACCATGTCTTTGTTCCTCCTGCTTAATTCTCTTTGGCAATCAACCTGTATAGAAATGCATTTTTATTACTTCATTAATTTCTTTGGATTTATATGTATTATTAATTTTTAATTTATCAAAAACAAAACAAAAACTCTAAACCTAAGACTACGACTATTGTACTCACTCCTTGCAAGAAATTCGAAATTAAAACTTAGACAGAAATTGAATACATACACTTACCTACTCAAGCCTATTTGGACCCATGCTTCACAGATATATGGGACAGCCAAAAAGACTCGCATAGGTAAATTACAGACTTTTCAATCTAAAACTTTCAGGACTATCACCAAAGCTCCCTGGTAAGTCAGTAACATTACAACAGTTAACGAAAGATTTCATAATAACTTACACGGACATACAAACTCAATGATTCGAGGCGTGGCCACAACTAACATGCCCGATAGCACCAGAAGGAGACTTAAAAGAAGCTGGGTGAGGGATCTCCTCCACTAACTATAAATATTACGCTCAAGACAGAAAGGACGCAGCTGGGTTTTTTTCTTAGCTAATGATCAATGATTACAAAAAAATATTTAGGCCAATATTGTTAACATAACTTTTTATTTATTTACTTTTATGTTACTTAGGAAGAAATATTAATTTTGATGTAAAATTGTTTGGAAATAATAAACCATTGTGTAATAATTTGGCGCGTTTTTAATACAAGATAACAAAGATGGTCGATATTCGAATGGTATTCTTATATTAATATATACATATGTGTAATATGTTATTTATATGCGATTATATACTTATATTTAAATCTATGTTTATTATATTTTATTTATATAATTAAGTGGTTTTTGGTTTTTTATTTTTTATTTCATAATGTTGTTTCCTTTTTTTCTTGAATATTTATAATTTCCTTGATAAATTTTTTTATTACAATTTTTTATAAAACAGGACTCATAATTTAATCATTTTAATACCCGCAAATTATCAGCTCATGGTTAAGATGCGGTTGCCGATATCGCTTTTGACTGGTTGCATTAAACGCTTTCCTCTTTCCCTTAATTATGGTGGTCAGTTCTATCGTCTAAAAATAGTGAAGGATCTCCTGCGGTTTCCTTTGTTTGTTTCTTTTTCTTCTTCATGTTTATTCAGTTTACCAATACTGAATTTTTTAATGAAATCATCTTTATACTCCATTCAAAGATTCTTTATACCACATTTATATTCTTCAAAGAGCTGCATTTAATATTCGAAAACATAGGGAAAATTTATTGTAAATCCCAGAAATATTTCCATTCCAGTTACTGCTCAATGCTTCATCAAATTGCAGTAATCATAAAATCGCATTTTCCGCATTTTCTGTGTTTCTTATTAATAGATTAAGGAAATGTCGCCGGGTTCGGGTGAAAAAATACCTTGTTCATATTCGTGAGTGATTTTAATTGCACTGAAAACTTTTATATCTACACATTAAAAGTTTTAAGAACTGTATTCTGGTATTTAAGTAGTTGAACAAGATGTCATGGGCTCCTGATATTCGTTGGATTTCGTTTTTTAGAACGCATACAGGCTGATCAAAAATCTATGCCAACTGTAAAAGAATTAATAGCTATATTATTAAAACAGAAAGTTCCATATAAAAGAGCGGTTTATTTATTTATTTTCATCTATAAACTCAAGGAGTTACAGGAATACGCAAATTTCTATTTTTAACTTTAAACTTTATGAAATGGAACATGTAACTAAAACATCCTCACAATATTTTTATTTATTTCTTTTGATATTTGGGACAGTATCCGACAAACATTGAAATAAAATTAACGAAGATATTTCCTTGAGAAAAGATATGTCAGAGCTGAAAAATGTTGGCCACCAATTTTTAAAATTTTTTAAGAAAAACTATGAGTAGATTATTTCGCCTAGTGAAACAACGAGACAACAGTCAGATTTTGAAAAAAAAATGTTATCTTAAGTTAAATTGTCAGGGAGACGTGTTTAATCGAATCGACACCATGGAAAGAATAATTTTACACCGAGAAAATTAATTTTTAAAACTATATTTTTTATATTATAATAATTCTAATTATTTCGCCACTCCTATAAAATTTTATAATTTACAAATAGGTCGCAATTCCACCCGATGACTGATATGAAACAAAGGTCATGAGAGAACACTTGATGGAAAATTGTATTTGATTCATAAACTTTTGTTAGTAAAATATACGATTTATTTCTTAATCATGAATCATTATTGGGAATTCAATCACTACTTAAGTTAATCGTTTGACATCAACTGAATTGGTAATTAAATTCTTTGGTACTCAAAAAAGGTTAGTATTTGAGTAAAATACTAACCTTTTTAGTACTCAGTGCTTAGAGTAGCATTTGAAATGTTTATGATTGACTTACCAGAACGATCTAATGGTCGGGATCATATAAATGTCTAAATGTCAAAGACGGACAACTGACCTTTCCAGAAAGTGGTGAAAAAGTGAATTTGTATTTTATAAGTTCAACTCAAACTGTTTTTGCTGTTTATTTAAGAATTTTTATGTCCGATCATAAAAAAAAATCATTAGATAGTTATAAAAAAAAGTTATTAGATAGTGTAAGTTGAAGCAGTGATACGAAAAATGGTATTATCTCAACTTTTTAAAGATGGCAAGTTTCATTGTTTGATATTGAGCCACTCATATAATGATGATAAAAACTGGTCTAATCCTAAGTTCTAAGCATCACATTTACTTTAAGGCAAAATAATATTTAAATCACAAATGTAAATTACATTTATTCCTATTGAAGGAGTTAATAACATTGGAAATATTTCAGGTGTCTTGTTTTTTAGGGTAAGATACTTTATTAATTTAAAGCTTGTTTTATGAATTCTGCATAGAAATTTTAGAGGATAAAAGTGACTGAATATTGATTATCTTTCATACACTGACAGACAAAAAATTCCACCCACTTGATTTTTCCATCTAAAAATATTTCAGTACAGTTGTATTTGTATATAATACATGGTATTTGTAGATAATACTTAGTATTTATAGAATTTTATAATCTTTTCGAAGAGCGAATCTTGACTCATCTGTAAAAAGTACAGCACTCCATTCGTCCATAGTCCAATGGCTGTGTTCTCGAGCAAAAGCCAGCCGTGTTTCTCTGTGAGTTCTGGTCAACTCTGGTCCTCTTACTGGACGAAAAGCCATTAATCCAACTTCTTCCAGCTGATGAATCGCTTGAACAACGGTAAGGTGCTGGATTCGTAAAATTCTCAAATTCAAAAACCGGTCATCCCGTGGTTCTGTTACCCTAGGCCGTCCAGAACCGGGCCTTCTATTGTAAGAACCAGTTTCCCGAAAACGCCTGACGGCGCCTTGTAAAGTTTCATATGGGACTCCGATGGCATTAGCTGCATATCTAATAGAACGTCCATCATCAATAAGTGCCTCACCACGCTCAACATCCTCAGCACTGAGAGGAATTTTTAAACTTAATATTGAAAAAATTAAAAGCCGGAGACTAAGAAATGTGCTGTAAGAAACGGCACTGAACTAATGATACTGAATAAACATTTTGATTCCATAGAAAGTAAACATTGGAATCTAGAATCATTTCATTGAATTAAGGATTAAGGATTATTGTCCTCTATATTGACATTCCTAATTGAAAACAAACAAAAAGATTACCTATTTATTCATTAAAAACAATGGACCAATCCAAAGTAGAAATATTTTTAGATTAAAATATGAAAAATCAAGTGGGTGGAATTTTTTGCCTGTCAGTGTAAAATCCAATATATTATTATAAAATGGATACACATTTTTTTTTTTCATTAAAAACAATAAATAAAATGCGCTTATTATTACTATTTTTTTTTAAATAAATAGAAATATTTACCAGAATGACTGCACAATAATTAGAGATGAAAAGGATGAATACGACTCCGATAATGCCTCCGATGTAGCCTAGCTGGCTGAAGGCTACCGGGAGGGCCAGTATACCAGTGCCCACTGTAGCTCGGAACATGTGAACCAAGCCGTCGAAATATCTGTAACATATTTAATATATTTATGATATCTTGTCTAAGTTGCAATTGTATCACTATATCTATTTTATTTCACGCAGTACAAAAAAAAAAAAAAGTAAAATCATGCAATTTAAAGCACAACAGAGAGACATACACAATCCCAGTACCAACCGGATGAAAAGCACATTACATCCTAGATTCTAGTTATATAACACAATACAATATTTTTTATTTATGTTAGTAATATAACATTCTATCACAGAGACAATGGAATATGTGAATCATAAATCATTAGGAAGAGCGTTGGTGGGTCCAAAGAAGTATATTTGGGAACCTAATTTATATCTTATCAAATAAAGTAACAAGTTTATCTAACACTCTTAAGAAGAAATTGGAATGATAAAGATCGACTTTTCTTCAATGTATATAATGTTTTTTAAAGAATAGTGCTATAATAAATTTGTGAATTTTTCGACAAAATAGTACACGGCCTGCACTAAAATAATACTGCTTCAAGTGCAGTATTGTAGGAAAATCCTCATCCAGATTCAACCAGATCATATTGGTCCTCAATAAAATGAATAAACTTTTTAATAATTTATTTTTTAAAAACCAATATGGAAGAACAAGAAATAAGTTTCATAAAACAAAAATAATAGTTTATAACACCAACATAAAATCAGTCCTGCTCTACGACAGTGAAACATGGAAGGTGACAGAAACCGTTACTCTTCACATCTACAACTGTGAGGAAATCCGTGAATCTGGTGGCCTGAGAGGCTTCTAGCGAAGTTCTCTTGAAAAGAAATAAATGTAAATGGATAGGACAAACTTTAAGGAAACCAGATAGTGCAATCATAATAGAAACTCCATTGTGGAATCCCCGAGGAACAAGAGAGACTTGGCGCAAACCATATCAAAATGAATTGGCAGAAGCGAAAATGTTCGCAGCATCAATAGTATCCAGGAATGCACTAATAGATGCCCTATGCTTCAGCAGGGGTCAACGGTGATAATAATAATAATATTCACTTCGTAGGCAGTTTAGGACACAAGCCCGCACCGCATCTGGGTCGCATCTCAGCGTATTTAAAAAGCATTCGACTTGGTTTCGTGAAGCTCTAGATATGTCCGTCACTGGCCCACGTACTAGGCCTAACCTAACTTAAGTAAGTATTTCACTTTTTGATTTTCATTCAGAAGTACAACTCAAAATATTTATTTTGGCCGCACGTTCAATTAGGCTCAAATTTGGAGGAAAGTTAGAGATTCGATAACTGATAATTAAGTGAATATCGATTTTACATATATCTATCCACTACTATAAAAAAAAATTGCTTTCGGACCACTAAATGTATTTTTTGACACATCTATACCCTGAAAACGGCTAGATCAATTGGACTCAAACTTAGAGGTAATTTGGAGAACATTATAGAAATTGCATAGTATGCATTTCAATGAATTCCATTTAGTAATTAAAATTAGTATAAATAACTGTTAACAGTATGATGACTGTGAAATGTGGAAGGCATTGATTATGTATTAGGTTAGGGGGTTAGGTTAATACAATATTTTTATGAGATTATAACATGTAATAAGGTTTTATTCAGCAAGTTAATTTATACTGTATTGTTTGGTCGCTTCCGAATAAATGGTTAATCATTTAATCGAAATAGCTCCATCCCCGTTTATTTGAAGGTGAACATCGGCTATTGGACACCTTGAAGGTTTTTGTAAGGAGGAAATAACACAACAATTTCGCAGTTAATAGCTTGTTTGTTACGGTTGACCAGAGAACAATATTTAACTAGCAACAATTATTTCAATGTAAGAGTTTTACAATGCTATACGTTCTAAAATCATTGAAGATAAAATTCAATTTTTAAAACAAGGAATTATAAAACAGAACCATTTTAGTCATAAAACCCTATTTCATTTGAACATATTGTATTAGTAATTTTTTCTTTTTAAAAAAAGTAACACTTTTTTACTAGGATTTTCTGTGACCACTGGCATGTCGTCGAGGTCATTTCTCTCATACAAAGTATTTTAATTCTAATTCTGATCAAGTTGAGGAAAAAGCGCTGGGAATTTCCCAACATACCCGTGCGAGGAGGAAGACCTTGGTTTTGTCGATCTACAACTGCATATGAAGATTCTATAAATTTTTTGTTGTCAAAAACAACTAAATCCCTTAAGTAGACACAGAAGGATGAAATGGCATCAGCTAGTTAAAATAAAACTCAAAATTCTTTTTAAACGACTCAAACATTTTTTTTCCGAAAAATAATCAAAACTGTAATTGACCTATAAATTAAATAGGTAGATTTAATTACTCAAACCTCTAAGAGCATGTAAAGAAGATGCAAAAATACATAAAATTGCTTTGCCATATATCAAAAATACTCATTCACGTACATAATTCACTTTCATTTATGAAGATGTCCAAATGCGACAATGGAAACGTGCCGTTTTCAAACTATCCAAGTTGAAATATCCACCAACTATCGACCAAACAGGAAGAGTTATTGTTGAAGTGAGTTCTAATTAAAGAACTATTCTCCGTTGGTTTTCTAATTTTTTTTTTCAGGAAATACGATGTTAAAGAATCTACCTCGTGAACGGCCTCCAACATCAATCGAGGACGAAGATCTTAAGGAAGCTGTGGAAAAAACCTCACATAGTCAGATAACTTGCCTCGAATCTCGGCATGAACGTTTTCGGGCGTTTAAAAAAGACAAAAAAAAATTAAGAAAAAAAATTGATTTCTGGATCAAACACTACTTGAACGTACACCAGTATTGAAACGAAAAACTACTGTTTTTTGTTTCATATTATTATATTTTGTATTCCAATATTTCCAAAATGGAATAAGCAGGAAAATAGTAATAGGAAACACGATGCAAAGAATGAAAACATTGGATATACAAGCAACGCTAAGTTGATCAACAATAAAAAAAATTCACACAAACCGAAAAAAATAATTTTTCGAAAAGTCTCAACAATTGGCGAACCCTCTTTTCAACAATTTATTACTAGCCGAAATCCCATTCGAGAAAAACTTTGGCAACAACTTACATATGATAGGTGTTTTAATTTAGTAGTAAGCTCTATAGGATAAGTTCAACTCAATTCTAAGGTGAGCCCCATCACCGGTTAAATTGCAGTTGTCAAAAAAAAAAAAAATACTCAGAAACGATAAAAAAAGCAAAATTCACTTGACAATGCTTTTTAGCAGTAAAATGATTATTAAGAAGACAAAAAAAAATCCTAGTCAAAGATAAATAAAAAAGGGGCCACGAAAAAAAAAAAAAAGATAATTGTTTGGACGTCAAGGAAATGAAGTATTTCTTGGGAAGATAATAACTCGTAACGAAAAATGGATAATATATGACAACCAACGCCAATCACGTCAATGGTTCTGCCGACTAGTTACCTGGGCATTTGTTAAAAAAGAATATCCATCCGAAAAAATAACGGTTACTGTCTGACGGTCTATGGCCGTGGTCATCCATTTTTAATTTTAAATCCCTCCATTATCCTGATCTATCCCCTACAGACTTATTTCGGATCTTGGACACCTTTATGGGGATAAAATTGTTTACAAATGATTCAGAATTGAAAATTTGGTTTCTGGCTTTGTCTTAACTTTTTTAACTCAAACATTTTAAAATCTGGGATTGAAAACTTAGTTCTCATTGGGAAAGCTATATTGAAAACTATGGTATATATTTTGAATAAAAAATATATCTGATGTATTTCAATTTTTTAATTAATTTCCTGTTTCTCAAAACGGTCATTTCATGCATGATGACCAAATATTTTGTAAATGTTCAAATTATCTTATCTGTGGTATTAGATTGTTTCAATTTCCATGTCGATTGTTTTGACGAATGAACTAAATTCTCTCAGTATACAAATTTATTTTTCACATTTCATCTTAATTATCAAATGATAACTTTCAATGAGATTCTCTTAATGAGGATCTCTCTACACTGTAATGTAAATTAATTGATCATAAGTTAACATTATTGTGAAAATACGATGTTCTTGTAGTGTCAATCTTGTTTTAATTGATCACGCCCTGCCAACTGTTTATGTGTATGTATTTGTTAAAGATTAAATTACTTTTTAATCCTTTTTCACCTTGAAATTTTCTCCAATTTTAAATTCTTTAACGTTAATTCTAAAAATTCACTCATAAACGAAGAAAATGAATATTCTAGTTTCATTTAGTAATACAATTAATTAAAAATAGATAAATTCACCATAATATTCCCTTTCTTGTTGATGGTACGGTATTTGCAAAACAATGTATAGATGAATACAATCATATATATATATATATATATATATATATATATATATATATATATATATATATGTATTACAATTTTTTTATAATTCGACCTTCATATCTTAAGATATATATATATATATATATATATATATATATATATATATATATATATATATATATATATATATATATATATATATATATATATATATATATAAATATCTTAAGACGACCTTCATATCTTAAGATATATATATAGGTTCATTCGTTAATTACAATATTTTTATTGGTACATTAATGTCGGATCTTGTAAATTATACCATTTTCAAAATCAAAAAAGTAGTTTGAAAAAGAAGTTCGATTAGCGTCAGTAGAGCGAACTCACAGGTGATGATAAAGTGGGGGTTGTGGTGATATCCCTTATTCTTATTAAAGCACAGTACTCACTGTTCATCTAGTACATAGAAAGAAGGGACGAAACTCAAATCTTCCCTTCCAATAATTAATTAATTTTTGAAGTGGAAAATTCTTTAGGCACATTTTGTATTTTTTTTTTGGATAACGAATTAGATTGAGCCGTCAGTTTTTCAATGTGTAACGTTCGGGTAAAGTCGGCTGTAGCGGACTAATTAAAGGGTTTTTACATAAGGATTAAAATATCTCAAAAACTAAAAATTGTTAACTAGGGGAATAAACAAATATGAGAGCCTGTCCAACGTTGCACATTCATTACTTCAACATGGTGCCGACGAAATGATTACATGACATCTTTTCAAATCAATTAACTTAAACTATAATAAAAACGATTTTAAGTATTTTGTACTCAAATTGTTTCAAAATATTCACGGGATCTCACTGGGTAATTACAGCCGTCAAAGTTGAAAATCGGTCGGGTCGTCCGCTCTAAACAAACGTCCCTTTTCAACCGATTGATTGAAAAAATTTTGCAAAGTAAATTGCCAGAATTTAAATCGATTAAACGCATATTATATAATCACGGTTCAGAATTTTTAGCTCAAATTGTTTCAAAACACTCACAGGATCTCACGGAATAATTTGAGCCACCAAACTTAAAAATCGATCCAGCCGTTTGCTTATAACAGCGTTAAAAAGCTTTATGGAAATTGATTGAATACATTGTATTTAACAAGGGTCGGTATTTTTAGCTCAAATCGTTTAAAAAAACTCAAGGGATTATACCGAATAATTTGAGCCACCAAACTTAAAAATCGATCTAGCCGTTCGCTTAAAACAGCGTTAAAAAGCTTTATGGAAATTGAATAGTTACATACCTACTACTAGGCCCCATCCTGACCAGCCTTGTTAACTCGTCTTAATCGCTTTTAGTTTACACATTTTATTAAGTCGTGTAGCTTATTTATTATTGATTTTAATAATAATAATAATAATAATGCTTTATTTATTCTGGGACAAGTCCCTTTAGAATAATACAAAAAGACAATAATATGGGCTAAGGAGCCTTACAGATACATAAACAAAAATACGCAGTAATTAAATAGTCAAAATAAAAAAAATATAATAGAAAAAATCATAAGTTACTTACTAATTTAGATCAGTTAAAAATAAAAAATAAAAAATTGAAAATAAACATGAAATAAAAATAATGAAGAACGCTCTAATAATTTATATACATATTTGCAGTAGTAACTATTTACAATTTTACTTTTCTATACTGTTACAATAGTAGGAAGGAATAATTGGGTAGGGAAATATGGGAGTAAGGGATAAAAGGTTTTAACTAGGTTTCGGATATTGCTATTATGTGGTAAAAATTATCAAGGAAATGTTCCTGAGATTCATTTTAGTGTGAAGTAAGGGATTGTGCATTGATGTGACAGGAATTCAGGATATTCGTCATGACTGGAGGGTTGGGAAGTAGGATTTTGGGGAAAAAAAAAAATGATCAAGGATGAAGGGTAGGATATATCATTTTTTAAGCATAATGTCAAGTTTATAAATATAAAAAACCAATGCTTACATAAAATAAACTTTGAGATGAAAAAAATAAATTTTCGATGTTTCGAAATAAATATTAAGCTAAAATTAATTTATAACATAAGAAAATATAAATTTCTCCTTGCTCTAGATAAATTGATAAAAATTGGCAAGGAATCGAATAAAGTTCTAAATAATTTATACAAAAATAAAAGAAGCTTACAATTAAAATAATAATATTTCTGATGAGTAAAAATTGATACAAAAATAAAAAAACAACAAGAGAAACTACATTTATAAAAAAATAAAGAAACCTGGAAATGAAAAAAATACAATAAATATATTTCTTTTTAGAGAAAGTAAATTAATTGCAAGCTGAAGGTAACTTATATACAAAGTTCAGCTGAAAACGTTTAAAAATAATTTTAATGTTTTTTAACCTGAAATTTTTAAGAGAGGGGGGAAGCTATTTACAAAGTTTCATGCGGATATTAATAATTTGATAAAAAGGGGGCTGTAGAACGGACCAGCACTGAAGAAAGATTCATTGATTCTATTTCAATACTTAAGGAAAACAAACTAGCACTATTTATTTAATTAGCACTATTGATAACTTCTTGCTGAACTTGCTAATTATGACAAATATTTTATATTTATTCACAGGCTGTGCAACTTACGAAGTTTTAGGGCATATCGGTAGTTCGGTCCCTTTAGTGCTTTCCACATCCTCATTGGTCTTTTGTGATTCAGTGCTTCCTATGCTTCTTATGACCGATAGGATTTTGGTTCTGAAAAAAAAATACAAAAATAAATATGTAGTTCTGTAAATATTTATGTAAGATTGATATTTGGTGACAATACAAACTAGAAAAACTTATATTAAAGAGTTACGTTAGTCATGACGCGTAGTGAATTTCGCAAACATATGATTATAGCAATATTTACTATTATCCATTTTTGATTATTTCAGACTTAACAATATTCCAGCTCATTCATGTACAAGCACTGAATGCTCTTCCGTATAACTTTTCATTGGTCGACAATCCAAATGGTTACGCTTATTTTTTTCTACTAGTGTTGTCCAAATGCGAGACCGAGACGAGTCTTGGTCTTGCAATCTCAGTCTTGGTCATGGTCTCGGTCTTGCGCAAGAGTCTCGCAACAGTTTTGCAGTTACTTATTAGCTTATTACTATAGAGATATTACTGTAATTTTTTAGATAGAAATCTTACTAAGCTTGAATGAAGAATTAGAGGAGTTAAATGCAAAAGTATATTGGTCATACCAATTATTAACATATAATAACTAACATTGTTGAATATTAGTAACTAAATAGTAAATGTAATTAGTAAAAAAAAAAATTGTAAAACTAAGTAGTAAAAGCAAAATTTCCTTAATTTTTATTTAAAAAATCGATTTTTTGTTACCAGTCCTGGTCTTGGTCTTGCAACAGTTTGGTGGCCTTGGTTTGGCCGATTTTGGGTAACACTATTTACTAGATAAACCTTTAAAATGTACAATTTTTACAGAGAGGACATATTTTTTTTTTTTTTTTTTTGTCTATAGAAATGCACCTTTCAACTTATTGTTTGAAATATTTATAATCCGAAAATTTCAAAGAATAATATAATTGACTTGTAATAATACTTAATAAATACTAACATTTGTGTTGTTTTTTGTTCTGGGGTTATACTTCAATTAACATTATCCACCCCTTAAATAAAATAAATTATATACTTTAATTCCAGAACAGGATTGAGAAAGATAAATTCTGATTTAGATATAAAAAATAAATGGACAGAAATAGAAAAAATGATGACAAAGGGTGTTAAAAGGGAATAATAATCAAAATATATAATTTTAATAAAACAGAAAAAAAGAAGAAATTTTAAATTTACAAGTTCAACCGTCACCCAAAATGTTCATATTGTCAGTTTAAAGAGAATTTTTTAGAATTTTCAAGTAACGAAATCAATGCTGCTGTCGCCTTTCTACTATTATCTATTTTATTTTGGATAAGAGTAGAAAGGCGACAAAGATTCCAACGAAAACATTTCTCATTATTTTTGTAATGAAACTTTCTTTACGGTAAAATAAAATAAAAATCATTAGAAATTCATAAAACCGTCATGTCATATAATGTACTTTGATTCTCTTATAACTGCCCAATGGGCGATTTAATATATGTATATTTAATGGACGAAAAAATATATAAAATGTTTTATATTACTTAAGCTGCTATATCGAGAAGGTTTAGTAGTTAGCGAAAAGGACTCTTGGAAATCAAAACATGGAAATAACTAAAGAGAACAATGTCGTAAAAAAAAAAAAAAAACGGTAATAATATTTTATGAAATTAAATACCTCAATATTAATAAATAAGCCGCTAGAATAATGGCAGATAAAGCGGATTGAGTGATGATATTATGGAGTCAAATACCTTCATGAGTTGAATTATATTAGAAGACCGAAAATCTTATGATTTTATTCATTTCATTGAAGAAGTCCATTTTATTTCTGTAATACACACATGATATCCTAAACTTAGTTAATATGATGTGAACCGACTTCGAATTGTGTAAAAATATGAACTCCATACATGAGGCCTTATTGCATTTTTTTTTTATTTTGAGTCATTGATTTTGAGCTCTCATCATAGGAAGAGAGCTGATGATGACTGATATATCAAGAAAATCTTAAAGGGCCTGTTATTATAGAACTGTTATTATTCCTGATACCGGATAAGTAAATTAGTTGAATGGTTATAGTGCGGTAACAGTGATTAAAAGGGTTTATTACTGTAGATTTCTTCCACTACTGAAGGCAAACAACAATAGACAGTCAGACAAGGCCAAATTAACTTGCATATCACGTGTATGCGGCGGTTCTTACCTTTCTGTAGTCTATGCCACTTACTTGGAAATCGAAAAGAAAACAAACAATAGGGTTGGTTCTTGGGTTATACCACTATAAAGGATAAAGGGTTATTCTTATTTTATGAAGTGCATTAACATTACATTTCAGTTGAGGTCTTTGAATGTCTCATTGACTGAGTAAAAATTTTATATATATATATATATATATATATATATATTAAATTTTTGCCTGTATTTTAGCGACACAAGGCTATATAGCTGAATTCTTCCAATTATAACCTAATATAGATATATTAAATTTATATATATATATATATATATATATATATATATATATATATATATATATATATATATATATATATATATATATATATGATATATATATATTTACAGTGACATTTTATGAGAACTGGATGGATAAGAAATGATTGAACAGACAGGATTTAAAGGTAGGATGGGTTTTGGATTGACGGATGTGGAGAGGGATGGAGTTCCAGGGATAAGGATCAGATAATGAACGATCTGTCGAAACCAGCGCTTCCGTGGGTCCTTTTGTATAAATCAGAAGACCGGGAGTATTGCGGGAACGAACAGAGGATTTGAATTGAAAGAGCTCGGAGATGTATGAAAGACGGTGGGATTTGATGACTTGAAAGAGGAAGGATGCCAGGAAATACGACGGTAGGAATGATAAAGCCACTTCAACTCTGCATAAAGACAGGAAAGAGAGGCTTTCTTTGGGATTCCGAAGATGAATCGTACAAAGCAATTTATCAAACGTTAAGTTATTTTACGGATATATATATTACGGGTTAGTAACATAAATGTGGTTAATTTGTTTTTACTTCCTCACTACCTAAGGTCCAGGACACCAAGAATCAAATTTGGTTCGGTGTTTATCCAATTTTCATGATATATAACCAAATTTATCTAATATAACTGAATAAATGTAATTATAATAATATGAAGGAGTAAAAAAGTCTACAAGAGAAGTAAATGCAGAGGTAGAAGTTATAATTGGAATAATCAATATACACATCTTTACCCAGGAGGTAAAGATATTTTGTATTTGCTCCATAACTTTCAGCTATTTTAATTTGTTTCTTAATTACTAAATTTGTAATCCGGGGTAAAGTACACCGTACCACATGTCACATATTTGTTCATTCAGGCATCCTGTTATCCATGAGTTTGAGCTTTTAAAGTTGTTTCTTAGTTACTAGATTATTTAATGAATAAAATGGGTATGGTGTATTTTACTTCCGGGACAAAGATATTAATTTATAAAATAAAAAATAACTGAAAAATAATGAGTATTAATAGAATTTATGAAATGCATTCAGAGCGTTAGCAACCGGTTTTAGTTGGCGGAGAGTTTAGGACACTGACCTGCCCAACTTGGTAATGCTTAACCGTTCTTTAACAGGACAAGACAAAAAAAAAAGACACATTTCTCGTCCACATTTCTATCTAGTATATAATGAGTTGAGTGTCTCAGCCATAAAATGGGAGGCAAACAGGGTAATGACATCTATCTACAAGGACATGATGTATCATAAATCGCATAGATATGTATAATTTTTAATATTGAGCTTTGCATGCAAAGTGGTTCTTTGAGTGACCATACAAGATGGTGCCGATAAAAAATTGCTTATAATTATTAGTATGATAAAAAGCTTGCCTGCCAGGGAAACATGGATTATCTAGACATTTACAGTTACGGCGACAAATCCTGACAAAAGAACACTAAAAGTGAGCCTTTCTGGCCGAAAGCAGAACGCCTGGTCAAGTTATCTATGGTAGCTGAAGTCGACTCAATCGTCGTCCTCCAGTTCTTGTTTGTTCAAGAGAGGTTGGTTTGGAATTGCAGGCATTGGAAGTGCAAAATAAAAATCAATCATTAATTATTAACAATATTATTTCTTGTTTGTATTTAAAATCGCATAGTTGTTTTTCGTTTTGGCTGAAATCCGAAAGTATTTTAGTGAAGAATGACGCTAGAAATTTATAAGTAGTTTGTACAGGTAAAAATAGGAAATGCTATACTTTTTTCTAACTGTTTTATTGATGAATCCATTAACATTAATGGACATTAACATCCAAGTTAATGGACCAGAATAGCTCACTAATTGTAGAACTATTTCCCGATTTCAGATATGCGTCTGGTTTTGATAAATAATTATAATTAATTTACTAACAGAGATGTCAGGCTACAAGAAAAAAAATGAATCAAAACTTTACAGCAATTTCACGGTTATTATTTTTGTTGATAATACTGGAGTGGCAGAATAACAAGTCGCACATTTTTTCACACAGAGGTGGGAATATAAATAAATGTGTGAACATAAGGAGTGAATATAAATTCAACTCTATTCTGCAACAAACTTCAACTAAATTAATAACCAATTAAAAGCTTACTAAACAAAAAATCTTTCAAAAGTGGCGTATCTATAGTCTAGTTGTAAGATAATAAAAATATATTACGAATAATCAGTGATTTAATGAAAAAGTCAACTTAATATAGTTTAGTCTCTCAAAAGTCTCATGTAAATGTTATTGATGAAGAGAATTTTGAACAAATTAAGACAAAGAAAATTGTGTCTAATTTACTATGAGGAAACTATTAATTATCTAAATTAAACAGTTTTTGTGATATTGTTTTTTATGAAAAAGAAAACTTGACAATTTTAAGTTGAAAAGTTTAATAATAATAATAATAAGGCTTAGCGAACCCGAAGGTTCGATGCCGACACCACCAATCGCTTGTTGCACACCTCCCTCCACCGTTCGCCGTCCAAACCCAGTCCCTTCAGATCGGCTTTAATGCAATCTTCCCACCTTCGCTTCGGTCTACCCCTTGGACGCTTACCATTCGGCACATCAAATATTAACCTTTTAGGAATTCTCTT